TCCTCTCTATTTATGTTTGTTACACTTGATGCCTCCAGAAAGTGAGCTGTTTCTTAAATTTTCTTCTAGAAAAAACATCTGCACAAGTAGATGCCAGGTTGATGTCCACATTTTCATTTGTTAAACACAGACTGAGCGGGCCTCATTCCTGGCACTGGGTGTTCAGCACAGAGTGCCAAATTCGAGGACTGTAGAGGGCAAGAAGCAGGAATGTAGCTGGGTGGAGGAGGAGCAGCCTGCCGGGGCGGGTGTGGGGAGCTTCCAGGGTTACACCATGCTCGGCTGAGCTCATCACACAGAGCCGAGGTGGCAGATGTATCTCTGCTCCCTGTTTACGGTACCAGTGTGCTTCATGACATCAGGAAGTCTTATTTTAATTCGTTGCTTTTAGGCATAAAACAGAAACAAGAGAATCACTCATCATCAGTAACTGAGGCTGTGCAAGAGTAAGAAAGGGGACCCAAACTTGCTGAATATCTATGTGATTTTAGTATAAGGTATTTGTACTTTTGTGGCTTTTACATGTAAAGTTCAGATATAGGCGAGACATACCAAAATAAGGTATTCTAGAACATACATTTTCTGCATAGCGTCCTATGAGGTAGGTCACAAAGTAAAGCCTTATTATTAGTATTTTTTCCCATCCATCTTAATAGACTTAGATAAGTTACCTCAGCCTAGTTACCTTCTTGATAATTAGGGAATGCGTGGATTTTCTGCTTTCTGTCTACTTTAAGAAATGTAGTAGACCAATGCCAACTATAAAGTGAAAATGTCATTATGTCATATGATCATTATGTCCTATAATCTATTACGTGCAGGCATTGCCTGGATTCTTTACTACATTATGCCTTATACCCCACTGACCAAAACAGGTATTAGTACACCAGTCATTCATCCATCCATCTATCCTTCCACCCATCCAGTGAATACTCATTTAGCTTCTAATATATTCCAGACACTAACCCAGATGGTAGGGGTGTATTAGTATGCAGAACATTCAGGAATAAAACCCATGAATTCACGGAGCTTATATTTCTATGAAGAGAATAGATGAATAAACAGACGCTCAAAGAATTAGGACAAAATCTCAAGATCCCAATGGCAAGAGGTGGAGGCAGGGGTCCAGACAGATCTTCCTGACACCAAACCCATATCCTTGGCATTATATCACCACGTATCTATTGGTAATGTACATTGAATTTGTCCAGCAGTTTTTTGAGGCAAAGCTTACATTGTGGGGAAAGAATTATCATATTTCTTTGATTCCATCAATTCCATTGATGGATTTGGGCACCATAGGGTGAAGAGTGGAACTTTTCTAAGTGGAAATATTTTAATTGACATCCCAATTCCAGAGATATTAACACTTGCTTGTTTTAATTTTTTAAAAAGCAGAATCTAACCATCAAGGACATATGATCTTTAAACTTTGTAAGTCAAGAACTGAGTTCTCATCACTCACTGTGGCAGTGGGCTTATGGCCCGTGTGCCTTAGCCAGCTGTTATCACTGAAAGCTCTAAAAGGTTCGCCATCACTGGTCTAGAATAATAATGCTGCATAGCCAGAGGCAGCAGCTGTAACTACTCTCCATTGCCTGAGCTCATTATAAATAGCACTGCGGCAATTAGTGCCAATACGAATTATACAACCAAGAATTAATACATTAGGAGACAAGAAGTCTCCCTCCATGCATAAGTCTGAAGTTCATGAATCTTACTTCAAATGTATTTTGTGAGGAAATTAGCCCTAAGTTAAGCAATATGTAATTGTGGGATATCTTCAGGAGCATGAGCCTTGCTTAAAATTCAGCCATCCCTGATTTATGCATTGATCAAACCATTTGCTGGTGTGTATTTTGCTCAGCACCTATTCAGTTCTGTGGGGTTTTGAGGACTTGGTAGTTCTGGGAGCAAGAAAGAAGGAAAGAAACAATCCCAGCCTGCGTCCTCCTGCCAGTCTCATTGGAGGGGTAAATATCCCTGTATTGAGAAATACGCACTCTTGCAAATCCACGTCACCTTTCTTTCCAGGAGGCCCAATATCCCAAGTGTGGAGCTAGAGCTTGAGAAAATTAAATGGAATAAATGGTGAGTTATCTGAGCATTTCTCACCCTTTCTCTGTTTTGTGTAGATGTGCACCAGGGTATTTTGGGAATCCCCAGAAGTTTGGAGGTAGCTGCCAACCATGCAATTGTAATGGCAATGGCCAGTTGGGTACCTGTGACCCCCTAACTGGAGGTAAGATCTACGCACATTGTCTGCCAACCTGAACTAATAAAATTGGTTTAAAGTAACAGCCTAAGGACCCAAGCACAAATTTCCCGGAAACATAATACACAATTTCAGCTAGAAAATAGTGTCCTTGCTTTGAGAACTGGGAATAATACCTGGGAATGAGTTAGGCATAACTTACAACTTGGTTGAATAAATTACATCAATTAGTTTTTCAAATAAATTGTTTTAAAAATTCAATTAAGGATAGCTAAAACCACTTCAGACTCTGGTGGTTTTGCTGAGGTCTCCCTTAATATGATCAGATAATATTCACATCACCTTTCTTGATGTGTACATCTGAAGAAGTCAAAGTAGTCTTTCTCCTACAGCTATAAATGTTCTGATATGTGGGCAAGTAATGGGGTGGGTCTTAATACCAAGAAAAAGGTAATTCTGGAAAGTTAGTTTGAGTTCATTAGGAGCAACTCAAAAGAAAAAAGATGACTATCCTCTTCCTTCTTTCAGAGAAAATATTAATATGATTTATCAAGAAAATGCCATCGATTTAGTGTAAATCACATGGGTAAAATCACTCATACTAGTGGGCAGTATGAAAAGCTCAACCCTGGATGTGTGGGTTGGAGCTGATCAAGGAACTATTCCCTAAAGAAGACAAAGAAAATAGATTAATGCCAGTCTACAACAGGAATATGTATTGCCGTGCTGCTGAACCTAATTTCTTGCTCCAGCTCATTCAGTATTTCTGACCCAGATGTAAATATGCCCAGTTATCAGATGACAAGGAGGTAGGAAGGGTAGCAAAGGCCTACCCTGACACATTTAGGAAAACTTCTAGCTTAGAGTGTTACTATGGGGAAGTTGGATTGTTTTTCAGAGGGCGTTTCTGCATCATTCATGGCATGGGGCAAAGAAAGTGTAAGGAGTAAAGGAAGTCCCAGGGGGACCACTAGCTTTTCCTAAACTGGAGTTGAGAATCTCAAAACTCACCTTGCACATATGGTCATCGACAGCATAGCCCAACAACATTGTGTGCCCATCTCTATCACAGTATGTGCCACACTGTTTTGTCACTTGCCTACATCTCGCACACTGTTAAACCACAAGGCATCTGGGCTTTTGTCTTACTGTCTCTGTATTTCCTACACTTAGAACAGAGCCATGGCACATGGTGGATGGTCAAAGGTGCTGGATGAATGTTTGTTCAATGATCTTGAATGATGCTGGAAGGAGTGTGAGCACACAGGGGCTATCCAGTGGGGAAAGCCTTAACCTGGCAATTAGGAGTTTCCATTGGTAAGAAAGGCGTGGAGATGGTATCCCTTCAGGGAGATGGTGATGCCTGCAGAGAGAAGAAATGGAAGGTGTATAGTCAAGAGAAGTTTCTGCAGCGGTCCTGCTAGGAGATGGCTTGGGAGTTGGAGGTTTGGGCTAGGCAGACAAGGACCAATGATGCTGTGCAGTTGGGTGACTAAAATCTCCCGAACTCACTTTTCTGAAAAATCAAGTTAACAGGTAGATGAAGAATAAGTTTATAACAACGTCTTCTTTGGTTTTCACCTGTTTTCAGACTGCATAAGCCAAGAACCCAAAGACAGCATTCCTGCGGAAGAATGTGATGGTAAGTTTAGAAAGTTTCCTCCTTTTCCAAGTGTGGGGTTGAGTTTATGAGCCCCTGGTGGAACATGCAGTGGTGCAAGAGGGGAAGGAGGGGTCACAAGGAGCCTCTGTGGACTGTTAGCTATGTGACCTTCAGTAGGTACCTCACTTTTCCAGCCCTGCTGCCATCATTCTTGGAACGGAGAGAGTAACTACACTTACCTCATGGAGCTTTTGGGGAAGTCCTTGGAAAATCCCTTAGCACAATACCTAGTCAGTAGCAAGCACTCCATAAATCAAAGCTGTTCTTTATCACTTTCCCACATACAAAATAGACAATGACTTGCATAGAATCACCATGTGTATTTCAAATGCTCCTTTTTGTCAGCGTTCATGTCTCTCTGAGAAGGGCTGTAACTTCTTCCTGTGATGACCTGGGAGCATAGGAACTGGACTGTACAGAACTGTGTTCACCTTCCCTTGGCTCCAGCCATAACTCTTTTGCTTTTGATTGTGGTCCCTGCAGATTGTGACAGCTGTGTGATGACACTCCTGAATGATCTGGCCAGCATGGGTGAAGAGCTCCTCCTGGTCAAGTCTCAAGTGCAGGACCTGAGTGCCAGCTCAGGCGCTTTGGAACAGATTCGACACATGGAAACCCAGGCCAAGGACCTGAGGGTAAATTCCCCCTGGGATAGAGGGAGAGTCGAATGACAGCTGCTCAGTGAACACAGCTGTGCCTTGGTATCCACAGGGGTCTGGTTCCAAGAACCCTCACGAATACCAAAGCCTACTGATGCTGAAGTCCCTTATAGATGGTGTGGTATTTGCATATAATCTGTTCACATCCTTCTGCATACTTTAAACCAT